TAGCCTCGTACTGGTAGGCGAAGTGTAGGCCGGCCCCCTACTGTATGATGTAACAACTTGGTAAGACATGTAGGAAGTCGATGGATGCAGTTGGATCGGGAAGGTGCTTTGTGGCATTCTTTGGGGGAGCCCTAAGTTCAGCAGTGGATTTGTGATGGGCTACAATGATGATGATTACTAATTTGACGTGGCTTAGCATCGACTTGTGGCGCTGAGGGCCGCGGGTTCAAATCCCGCACGGAACAAGTATTTATTTATTATGTACGGCCTACAAATAATTGTTCCGTGTCATGATGTTTGTCAATGTCCTTGTGCAATTTATGTGTGTAAACTGCCTTCACGATACAGGAGATAATCCTCGAGTGGGGTAACGTTTCTTTGAGAGAAAAAAAGACCATTTAATTTATCAATTATTCGTTTTATTTTTCAAAAAAAGTCTAAAAGTTTTTGCTCTCACTTTGTTTTGATCCGTTCGAAAAGTTTGGTTTAGCTATTCCGAAGATTAGTCCGAACAGACAGATAGACAATTTAAAAAAAAACTATTTTATCCGTCTAAACTACATGCAAATAAATCGTTCAACTTAATACAATGGTGGTTTTTTCGATACTACAAACAGACACCCTAATTTTGTTTATATGCATAAATGTAGATGTATATATGATAGAAATAAAAAAACCTTGTAATTAAAAGCAAAAGCCAACTTCAAAGAACTAAAAACTGTAAAATAATTTCACATTCTAGAGTCGGTTGTCGATGAATATTAATTTAGCGATTACAATTATTTTTGTCCTATTGTTCGTACAAAAAACATAGAGACAAATTGTATGCCCTTTTCTTTTTCAAAGTCGGCTAATAACAATAATTATTTTTATTATTTACAGCCATCCACAAGCAAAAATGTTCGACAATACATTGGGGAATCGCCCTACACTTCGCTTACCGGTACGAGGTTGCTACTCGAAAACCTTTTTTCCACATCGTTTGTCGGTACTTCGCGCTATATACCTGGCCCATCGCCACTTTAGCTTTGTCATCCATTGGGCTATACCGGTTACTCTAGTTCTACTGTTCAGAAACTCATAGAAACTCCAAGCATAGCCCTCTCCATAGCTAGCTGAGCGACCTTGAGCTGCCTCATGCTGATAGGTAATAAAATTTAGCTTAAATACAATGCGGTTTCTAATGACGAAGAAAGACGATCTGTTCTTTTAGACCAAGTATAATTGGCAGAAGAAGGTATCCGTCAAACCTGTCAGTTTCATTAGTTGACGAAACGTCTAAAAACTGTATTATGTCATAAAATTATAGACTGGGCCATTTTCCGAATTGCTTTGTATGGAGCGTGGGTTAGGTACCATAAGTCTCTAGATAGACCAAAATAAGCATTTTACTATATATTGTATTTTGTGATCCTATGGTGGTAATATTCGTACAGCAGATGTGTCAAGATTTGCAAGCGATTATAGGCAGGCTCGCTACGATATAACCCAAACTTTTCGAGACTTGTGACTTGAAAAGAACTAAGAAGTAGTAAATTAGTAACTACTTTCCCATGACAACGACGATTTTGTAGCGCCATGGTTAAGCATGCGACTGCGACGCTGCGTGGCTTGGGCGTGCGTGGGTTCGAATCCCGCACGGAACAAGTGCTTGCATGGCTTGCATATAATTGTTTCATGTCTAATGTTTGTTAAACGACTTATTTCTATGTATGTAAAACGCTTCCACAATACAGGAGAGAATGCCAGTTTGAGGGTATACCGATTTTTGAAAAAAAAAAACTTTTATTCACATATTATATATCGGACTGTCTTAAAATAATAGCATCGAATAAAAACTTTTCGCTACACATCGTTATTGCCAGATCCTGGGCATATTGTTTTTAAAATAATTCAGAATTTGGATACCAGAGCAAAGGAAAATTTTCATCTGCGGAGGCGATGAAAAACTACTTTAAAAATTCTTTAATTCATCTCCTAGAGTTTTATAGTAGCTAGAGGCATCGATAATATTGAATTAAAATAAAAAATGTGCATCGACAATAATTATGGATACTTTCATTAAATATATAAATTACTTCAAAATTGCTTTTAGCTTTTCTATATCAAATGATAATGCAAAGACAAAATAACTTACATTCGGAAAGTACACTTAAGGGGATATAGTAAGTCAGCTCAAATTCTAATTTCGCCCCCACTTGCCCGCGCGTCGTATGCTATGTACCGATATGTTTGTAATCACTAATACTGTAAGTAGAAAGGTCGTTAGACACTTATTTCATTAGGTTTATCATATTTATGCCTGTTTCTTAACGCCAAGCCAGCCGCTTCTTATTTTTATCACGGTTATTTCCCATTTTAATTTTACGTCGTACTGTTGCGTAATGTATATTCTGATCATAAGCGACACAACTTCTCCCTTCAAAAGCCTAAGCGATACTAACGGTGCGACAGGAATCAAGCTCAAGACGCCGATAGTTTAGGTAATTTCTTTTTACAGTGAAAATAATGGTATTTTAAAAAAAGTAAATAACATAAGCACTGCTTTATAGTTAGTTCAGTTAGTATGCAAAGTTTCATGATCTTATTTAAAGTATTTTATGAATAACAGCGGTTTATTGTTTATTTTGGAGGTAACTTGGATTTTTTTTTCTATCGAGAAAATTTTACGAAATCGTGTTTTCGTCTAACATAATCATTAACATTAATCCTCAACTTTACCATATATTTATTTCAAAATTAATGCTGCAATATTTTCGGCACAACGAAGGATCTTGCTAAGCCATTTGACATTATATTTCCCCTTAAGACTGTCCCAACCTGAAATCTACCGAGTGCGCTCGTGACGAGCTAGGATAATATGTGAGACAGAGTAGTCCCTTACAACAACACGTAAATAATCTTTACATTACACTTCGTAATCTGGAGTATGGCAAAAGCCATCTAGATATGATATATAGCATACCGAATTACATATATAGGTATCATCGTTATCAGCAGCGGTGTTTAATACAAAATACGTCAATACAAGTCAATACATATTCAAAGTCCGTTACAAAAAAATACCTAATTATTATTTATTGTTTTGCACAGAACTTAATTATTATATGTTTTTCCGAGTTAGATCGGTTCTTGATTGGTCGGTGCGACTGCGATACAACAACCATCTTGACGAGGTGATATCGATGTCGATACCGTGTACATGTTGATATCATGGCTCCGGACATATGCATCCCATGATTATATGTCAAATTTAAATTATTGTTACATATTAAATTATTCATTTGTAAATTTAAATTATGTCTTAGATTAATTTCTTGTGATAACCCTGTTAGTAAGGCAGTGTGAAAAAGACAATTTTGTGTACATATAAGTTATTAAGTTGTTCAGTATATCTTAATAACTATTTGTGTACAACACTGCCTCTTCTACCAACAAAAATTATTATTGTACTATTCGGGCAAAATTAAGTAAAATAATTTTATTTAGGATGTCACTAAAAGATGCTCCAGGCATGCAGCAATTCGTAATTTATTTTCCTTTAGAGAATTATTTAAAATTATGCCTAAATTTTTTGCCCATATCATCGCTATAAACAATTATATCATTTCTGTTATTTGATTTTTTTATTTTAATCTCCTCTGCTATGGCACTGTCATAGAGTTTTATTGCTGATATTATATTATTAGCACACACCGACTCTGAAGAAACTGGTATTGAACGCTGACATTCACATTGATGTTTTACTAAGGAGTCAAAATCATATTTACATATCTTTACCAGATTATCCATAGCCAATATGTTTTATTTTATTTGGTTTTGAGCAGATTTATGTTTATTGGACACATGCATTTACAATATTTAAATTATTAAAATTATTCGGGACCAATTACGTATACAACTTATCACCAGGGTTACAACAAAAAAAAAGAAAGAAAGAATCGTGTAATAGTGATTCTCTACTGAAACGTAATGAAACCGAACCATTTTTGAAAATATTGATCCTAGTGATAAAAAGTGGGTCACCTACGACAAGACTGCACGAAAAAATCATGGTCAAAGGGTAATCAAGATCCACACACTGTAACGAAACCCGGATTAACACACAATAAGGTGATGCTGTGTGTATAGAAGGGAATCGTTTATTATGAGCTTTTACCGCCGGGTATAACAATCGATTCAGATCTCTACTGCCAAGAAATAATGACTGAGTGTCATGACAGCAAGAAATTGAGGAATTTGTTCAATAGAAAAGAAGTAGACTTTTATCATGATAACGTCATACCACACACATCTTTAACTACAAAGCAAAATTTGAGAGCTTGGTTAGGCAGTGTTAATGCATCAACCATATAGTCCTGACCTTGCACCCTCAGATTTTCACCTGTTTTGGTCTCTTCTCTGGGTAGTGTTAGGTTAACATCAAGAGAGGACTATCAAAACTACTTGTATATTTTGATAAAAAATCCCAAGATTCCTACAGAAATGGGATTATGCCACTGTCTACAAGATGACAACAAGTTGTCGAACAAAATGGCACGTATATATACATATTAAAATTAAATGTAATTAAACTTTTAAAAAAATTCTTCAATTTGTAAATAAAATACGGGGAAAATTTTTCCCGACCCTTATATATTTATGTATATTAGAAGGATGGGCTAAAAAAACAGGAAAGGCGTTTGTTTGGACTTTACGCTTTGATGAAAGTTTTATTTTATATATTAGCATTAAATTTATAAACGGTGATCCCTATTTGCTACTGCTTAGTAATCACCGACAAAAAAAATATTTTCAAATTCTTCCTTTCAATTGTTTTTCTATTTGTCAAATTTTAACTATGAAAGAGTTGTACGTAGGTATATTTTATATTAATAAAATAAACATAATTTTTATAGTAAATGAAAAGCCTAGATACTCATTTATAACAGATTTTTATTAACAAATAATGTTAAATATAATCTATATATATATAAATTGTGCTATATCATGAAAATTAATTAAGATCGTAGAGTATCAATGCCAAATCCGAAATGACATGTAAGATTTTCAGGCAGTTGTTGCCTAGCGGAACCCAGGTCTGATTCAACTTTACCTTTCGTTGGTTTTATTGGAGCTTGACTATATTGCAAGGTCTGAAAGTAAAAAAAATATATATATACGTTAACTCATTTTTATGATAAATATAAAACTATAATAGCTACTATCGTGTACTACTACGCCAAAAAAACGGAAATTTTGTTAGTTAGTTTTTTTTATATTGTGCCTAATGCATTGTTTTAGTGGCCTAAAACCATATTCGCATTATTGCCTCCCTAATAAAATCGGTTTGATCGGTTTAATAGTTTATGTCGGACACAGATAGAAACATTTTTTGTGTTTTATACAGGTTGATAGATTGTTACGTATTTTTAAATTTTTGTGGTTTAAACTGTAAAATCCCTATTACTATACAAAGTTATTATTGTTTGTATTATCAAGTCAGTGTATGGAATAAGCCATTATATAGATGTAGCACGAATTCGTCGGCTAGACCGGGGAAGGGCCACGCTCTCACAGAATACCAGCGTAAAATAGCAGCGTATTCTGTGAGATCGTGGTCCTTCCCCGGTCGAGCTGACTCATTCGTGCTACAACCACAAAATAGCTGCAACGTGGCTCTATCACGTATAATAGGCTACAGCGGATTTCTCTTCGGATTTCTAAACTGTCGTTAGGATTGCTGATTTAGTATCAATAACGTAGATTGAGGACGAGGATAGTTGTAGATGTCTATGGGCCACAGTAACCACTTACCGTCAGGTGGACTGTGTGCTCGTTTGTCACCTTTATACTGTAAAATACTATCACTTATGTGAATGGGATGGAGCTGGTATGCCTGCATGACGTTATTTGCGTTTAGTAGATATAGACGTTCAAAGGCGTGTTTATTTGCTTACAAGAAAAAATAAACATCACCAGGATCATTATAAAATGAAATCATTATTCCTATACAAGCTATAGAATAAAAGTAAAAACAACATCAAAATTAATTTGAACAAAATCCAAAACACTTATATCAATCAATAAACAATGTCCTCCAAACCGAATTTCGGCCACGACGGCCAGCCTTAAAGGAGACTATACATCCGCGCGCTACAGGATTATAGTGCCCAAGTGTATGCGCAAGTATATGTGCATTCCCTGTTCCTTCACTCTCATAGTCCGATGGAACGGTAATCCGATACGACCGAGAGATCAGCCGTAGGACCAACTACTTATTGACTCCAAACTGTTAAAAGCTGTAAGTTTTCCGAGTAAAAATGATATATCACGAAAATTCCGCGTTTTTAACTTTCAACAAACAACATGGCTCCCGATCTTAAAGATACAGCCTTCTGAGAGGTTTTTTTTACAGCAAGGAAGTGTCCGTGCCGCGCTGACCCAATGCGTGTTGGTGAACTTCACATATCTTTGAAATAATTTTTTTATTTCGAAATATTAATTTCTCAGACATGCAGGTTTCCTCGCGATGTTTTTCTTCACCGCCAAGCACGTGGTAAATCAGCACTTAAAATTGCAATTTACAATTTCATTGGTGCTGGCGAGGATCGAACGTGTTACTAGCGTACTGCGAAATTTACAGCGAGCACTTAGTTTCTGAGCTATCACGGCTTCCAATCTTAAGGTTAGAAAAAAAAGATTAGAGTTTTGCATTTGGATAAGAGATATAATTTATCATTGACTGCCTCGTTGGTCTTAGTGGTTGTAGTGGTGCGACTGCTGATTATGAGGTCGCGGATTTGAATCCCATCGGGCCAATAAAACTAGCTTATTGAGTTTTTCTGTCAAAAAATTCTCAGAAGCTGCCCGGAGTCAGGAAATTGACGGTGTTTCACACAGGAAAGCACGTAAAGCCATTGGTCCTGTGCCTGGTCTCTCTCCGACGATGTCAGTTTACCGTTCCATCGGTCTATGAGAATGAGGGAATAGAGGGTGACCCTCTGTGCTTACGCATACACTTGGGCACTATAATCCTGTCCTGCGCTGATGTTTAGTCTCCGTTGAGGCTGGCCGCGTGGCCAAAATTCGGTCTGGAGGATATTATTATTGTTATAGTTAAAACTAGGACTATTTTTCGGTTAATAATGTATAAAAAGTGTATGCTTACAGAAAGATCTCCATCTCCCCAATGTATTGCTTCGTCGTTATCAAGCGAATCGTCCCAATGGAATTGTTGAAACGTTTGACTCCAATCCGGTCTCTTCAGCACACACTTTATAGTGGCTATTGTGGCCCTTTGTTCTGATGGAAGAGTCTTCATCGAGTGAGTACTCTTCTTATCACCCTTTACTTGCTTTGAAGGAGCACTCTAGGATTATGAAAATGATGTAATACTTAAACACTTCCTTTACAGCCTATAAAAGTCAAGTGCAAAGCGTGGCAACTATGGGGAAAGTTGCCATAGTTGCCACGCTTTGCAGGCAGGTTGGCAGTAACAGTTTTATACTATTTTGAGTTGTTATCAGGAATATGCTGCTGCCTATTTCCTGTTTCAGTTTTTTTAGTTTGCAGTTTTTTTAATAGTAATTTTGCTATTATCAGAAATATGATGCTGTCCAGCTCCTGGTTTATTTCCCACTGTCGCCTCTTATAACATCCACGGAACGATTTGGAGTAGTGGATATTCTTACACCACAACTACCCAGTTACATTATAATAATTAAAAATTATTACTTCAACACTTTTAAAACTATATAAGTTAGGGCGAAGTGCAGTTACTACTAGGTGCAGTCAATTGCGCCTGGGCTTTGATATTTTCAATGTTTTTATGGCTAAAAGTACATATAAAATAGGGATAAACTAGGTGTAGTTGAGTCCTAATAATAATTAAAATGACTATGACTTCTGCTAAGTTCGCTGAAATACTAAAGCGCATATAAAGTAAAATCAGCGAAGGTGTAGATAGGGTACCCTTTGAGCAGCCCCAATGTCGTTCAAAATTATATTTTTTGTAAATTATTCGGACAAATCGAATAAATCTCAGTTTAACCAATCGCAATCGCTTTCACCTAGTTAAGCCAAATAAACCTTTGTGTAAGTACGTAAGGATGATTTGGGCGATTTTTGACCCCCCTACTCCTTGTAAGAGTACATAAGATTTCTCGAATACTCCCACCCCTCCCCTCCTTGCGTAAGATTCTATCTATACAATAATAAAATGTTCTTAGAAATGTGCTATTGTGACCGGAGTTATTACAGAATTTAAAAAAAATATCATTCAATGCTTTTGTTGCTTAAAAATAAAGGATAATTTTTATATTCCATATAATTAAAACGAGATTAATACGCGGGAAGAAAATACTATAATTATTATTTATAACATTGTAAATGGATAAAAATTAATACATTTAAGACTTTAAAATTTTAATTAACAATAAAAATAAGATGTAAAGCGAAGTGTTCATTATAAAAACCATTTGGCATCCGTAATGGAACTGGATTCCTTATATTAAATTTCGACTTACAAAATATTACTTAAGAATGGGGTTTACTCCCCAAGATAAGGGCTGTAGAGATTTTTAACACCCCCTCACCGTAATTAATGAATGGCCCCTAACCGCACTTCGGCTTTAAACCTGCATGAAGTATAACTTTGGACTTTAATAAAGTTCTTAATAGTATAAAATAAAAATAGGAGATGCTACCTTTTACCCCTAATACCAACCATACTTGCACGAGGTAATTGATGGTAAAAGTAGTTGCTGAACCCACATCCTTTCGGTACTATCCATATCATCTGGCGTGCATGCTTGGCGGTCAAATACTGTGCGATTTACTAGGAGTTTTCTTCCTCGCACGACTACTTTGAGAAATCGTTTCCCACCGGCGATTTTTCAAACCGAATACGACTTAGGGAACGTCAAAAAACGAGATTTCTTATTTCTAAAAGGCCGGCAACGCATCTCCAATGTCCCTGATGTTGCAATTGTTCATGGCCGGCGGTCGACAATTGCCATCATGTGAGTCGCATGCTCGGTTGCCGCCTCTTCTATAAAAAAAATCTACAGATGATAAGGACTATTGTCGATCGCAGTAGTAGACGTTTTGCGCTCTTCACGATATTCCCCATCGCCAGTGTGTTTTTTTTTTACTTCTTGCGTAAAAGAAGTGGTTATTTAGCAATTTATTGGAAGCCTTGAGTATTTATTGAGCTTCTTATAGTCGCCTCATACGATACGCAAGGGATTAAATTAGACGAAGAATTCTCTTATGGCGTCACAACACCGCCCTACCATAATGTCACAGAGGCCAGTCAGCTTTAGTAACCATTTGAGTCTACATGGAAATCCTTACCAACACAATAAAAATCATTTCAGATGTAGTTTCGTACACAAAAGACTTAACAATAGAACTAGGACACCAACTTTAAAAATAAATAAGTTATAATATATAATACCACAGTATATATAAGCCTTAGGGAAACGGTTGTTCGGAAAGTGTCTCTTAGTGCGATAAGGTTAGGACAGAATATTCTGACAGCTGGCTCCTGAAAGTTCATGATTTTATTCCATTGCACCCGGTTGCTTTCAAATGTGGTGTAGTGACGAATTTCCCGGGAGTTTACAGCAGTTAAGCGGTTATATACATCTGATCCATGTGATGATGTTTCACCTATAAAAATGTATATAATCAATATATATATATATATATATATATATATATATTCTTTATGGTGTAACTAATAATTAAGGAAATATTGTTACCCTAATTATGGTTTTAAGAAATTCGTTTGGAGTTTTTTTTTATAGTGGAGGGGGTAAACGGCACACTGCTCACCTGATGGTACGTGATTACCGCCACCCATGAACAACTGCAACACCAGGGGAATTGCAGATGCATTGCCGGCCCTTTAAAAAGGAATAGGCTCTTTTCTTGAAGGTCCCTACGTCGCATCGGTCTAAAAAATCTCTGGTGGTATGTGATTCCACAAGGAAATTGTGCGAGGAAGAAAACTTCTTCTAAATCGCACGGTGGTGTACCGCCAGTCATCCAGAGGGTATGGGATGGTATCACGAGTTTTATCACGATGTGCGATGGTGAAATAGTGCCGCTGGAATTAGTCCGAACAATTCCTCATAGCACTCCCCGTAGTAGATGCGACAAAATACGTAGACATGCAACATCTCTTCACAGTTCCTTTAATTCAAGCCGATCGGAAAGAGCTCGGTCACCGACGATTCGAACAGCTGTACGCTGGATGCGATGAAACAGAAGGAGCTGACACTGGGGAGAACCAGCCCAGAGATGGGAATAATATTCCATGTGCAGCCGAACCTGCGCCTTCTAAAGTTGCAGGCGATGAGCCTGCATGAAATACTGCCCCGCTCTGCTGAGCACGCCAAGATTTTTAGAGACCAATTTGGCTTTTTCTTTCAAGTGACCACGAAACTGCACGTCACACTTTTTTTTATAGGATAGGGTGACAACTAGCACACAGTCCACCTGTCGGTAAGTGGTTGCTGTAGCCCATAGACATCTTCATCTATCGTCGACTACGAATCAAAATGCAGATGCATTGTCACCCGTGAGGACTAAGATGGAATGCCTCGTTTCCAGTAAAAAAGGGTCTCCGGATCTCTACACTCACCATACGAAACACAGCAGTATTGAGCTGCTATTTTACGCTGGTATTCTGTGAGAGCGTGGTCCTTCCCCGGTCGAGCCGACCCATTCGTGCTACAACTATGCGTCTAATATAACTGCAGCATGGCTCTAACACGTATAAATGTCGACGCCGAGGATTTCGATACTGGCTGAGGCAACAAGGGGCGTGCCTTGAAACTGAGGAGATAAGACGAAAGGGGTTCTTTTTAGCGGTAAACGCGCAAACTTGTGTCTTCTGGGGATTTAACTGGACTAGATTTAGCCGCCCCCAGGCCGAGACTTTGTCGTAAAAGTTGGACCCGGTACTCGGCGACGTTTCCCCAAGAAATATTGGCACGGCCTTTGTATAAAGCATCACCAGTGCTGTCGTCTGCATAGTAATGAATGTTATCGGTTTGCAACATGTCATTGATATCCAGAAGAAACAGCGTTGGTGATAGCACGCAGCCTTGTGGAACACCAGCGTTAATGGATTTGTAATTGGAGCATGCACCGTCTTCTACGACCTTGATGATCCGATAAGCAAGAAAACTGTTGATCCAATTGCACAATTTATCGTGAAGCCCATGGAAAGGAAGCTTCGTAAGAAGTGCTTTGTACCAAACCCGATCGAAAGCCTTTGCTATGTTCAAACTAACGGCCAACGTCTCCTCCTTGGATTCTACTGCCCCCGCCCATTTATGAGTTAGGTAACCCAGAAGATCACCAACCGAGCGACCGCGACGGAAACCGGCGGTCACTAATCAGCTAGTGATCCACAAGGTACCGCATGAGCTGGCTGTTAGTTAATAATGGATTCCATGATTTTAGAGAACAAGGAGGTGATGGCAATTGGCCTATAGTTAGACGGATCAGATTAGTTACCTTTTTTAGGGATCGGTTGCACGAAGGCTGTCTTCCATGATTTTGGGATTACGCCTAGGGGGTAGGAGTACCGGAAAAGTTGCGCTAAAACCGGTGATATCTCCGGACCAAACGTCTTCAGCACAATAGGATTGACTCCATCAGGCCCATTCGATTTGTTAACGTCCAGGGCGAGGAGTGCTCTGCGTGCCGAGCGTTGGGTAAACAGCACATCTTGAATGGAGCACTCACACCGCGGGATGATCGGTGGTGTGTTCCCCCTGTCATCAAGAGTCGAGTTGGACGCAATGAGAGCCCAGAAGATCAGCTTTGTCCTTTGCGGCTTGGGCCGGTGAGTCGTTCTCCCTATGCAGAGATGGAAGAGATTACTGACAGAAGTTTCCTTGGACGGCATTGGCGAGAGAGCAGAATGCACGTGTTCCCAAAAGACGACGAACTAGTTTCTCGCCAATTCTGCCGATGTACTCTGACTTTGCCTTGACAATGACACTTTTGAAGGACTTGGAGGCAGAACTATACTTCTTTTTAAAAGCGCTGGTATTTGCATACCGAGATGTCGATGCGTGAGCGATGACGTAATGTAATTTTGCAGGAACGACAAAACCAAGGCTGGGTTCTGCCTCAGATAGGTACCAAAGATAATGGAGTAAAAGTTCCATTCCCTGTAGCACAACATCAGCGTCAGAATCAGCAACAATACTAAGATCATCTGGCGAGAAACAAACTGGCCTCCAAGGGTAGTAGTCTATGGGACCTATAGAGGTACCCGTAGAGGCTGGGATGGTCATCGCTATCTATGCGCAGCCATAGGATGGACAGGTACCATAACATCAAGACTGCCGAATCGTTGAAAACAGATGTCCTCTCTGACGGACACGCAAACTCCAGCTCGGGCCACAATGGAGTGTTCTAATTTGAACCCCGGGCAGGATAGTGATACGAAGTATCAGCCGGATAGGACACCTGTGTCTCGGTTAGAAAGAGCAAGGCCGGCTTCGCTATTTCCAGATGGTAGTGGACGGCATTAAGGTTTGAATGAAGTCCCATGATGTTGCAGAAAATCACGGATACGGCACTGCAGGGGGCGCCTTTGACTTATTGCTCTGTTTGACCCGAGCAGGTTTAGTCTCGAGCGGAATTCTCCCCCCCCCCTCCCAGAATATGTGAGGCAGCCTAAACCCACGCTCAGGGAGAGGAGGGTAGTTTGGGCGTTGATGCTCAGCGAGGGACTCTCCGGCACCGGTGCTGGTACCCTCCTAGGGAAGTGTTATATTTAACTCCGCTACCATGTTAGGAGGGGGGAGGGAATTGGGCCTCCAGCTACCTGCATTCACCAGATGAAATGCACAAGCAAAACTTCTACTTTACACTGGTCTTTTGTGAGGTCGTGGTACCACCCCGGTTTGAGCCGGCTCATACGTGCAACAGGCAAAGGCTGCTGCGTGGTTCTACCAGTTATGATTGATAACGCAAATTGACATATAAAGTTAATATTTTAATGGTTTCCAACGAATTAATAATTCTCCAAGTATAATACTCTAATGTAATGTTGATATCCACTTGTCCAATTTACCATACCAAATCGTTCTTATTTTAATTTTAATTTAAAGTAAGGGTGATAAACAGGGTGATTACACAGTCTACCTGAAAATATATATTAATAGATGCTGTGACCGATGGATATCTAAGAGTTTCTCTTTAATAAATAATTAAAATGCACGCTGCAGCTATATCATGGTTGTATAACATATAGATTGGCTTACCGGGGAAGGACCACGCTCTCACAGAATATCAGCGTAAAATAGTAGCTTAATGTTGCTGTGTTTCCTATGGTGAGTGTAAAGATCTCAGGGGTGACAACGCCTCTGCGGTTTGATTCTTAATTGACGATAAATGTGGATGTCTATGGGCCACAACATCTACTTACAATCAGGTAGACTGTGTGCTCGTTTGTCACCCTTATTCTATAAAAAAACACGCATTATTAACCCTGAGAACTAAAATGGCGTGCCTCGTTACCTGTAAGATGGGTGTCCGGTTCTTGTCAGTTACCAAACGAAACACAAATAATATTATGCACTATTTCCCGATTGAGTTGAACCATTGGTCCATTATACATTCCATCCATTACAGCCTATAAAAGTCCACTGCTGAACATAGGCCTCCGCCATAGATTGTCTAATGGGAGGATTTTCCATAGTTGCCGAGCTTGGTAAGCAGGATGGCAACCGCAGTTCTTTTATTATAATTTTGAGTTGTTATTAAGAAAACGCTGCTATCCGATATATCCGATCCGATAGCAGTAATTCAATATACTCCTGATTTGATTCTCTCGGTCGCCTCATACGACACCTACGGGACGATATGGAGCAGTGGATATTCTTGCATCATAACTACACGGGATTCCATGGGAACCGTTCATGCTGCAGACATAATAAGCTGCAGGGTGGTTCTACCACGTATATCTTTTATACACGTTCACTCGGCTACTAAATTTGAGAGAATACAAGCATCCTACACGAAACGCTATAATAGGGATGTAGAATATCTCTGACGTACCGCATTTCGTATATAGTGAGTACTGCCTCTTCCTATTACAGGAAGTAGTGCAACAAAGCACTTAAGATCTTGATTTTGAAGCCGACTTCAAAAAAAGGTCATTAATTCGATTCGAGTTCAAACTTCTTCTTCCTCAGGGAGTGGCAAAAAAGGGATGAAATTTTTGGTGTAACTATTTAAACCATATTTACACTGATATTCGTTAGTCCAGTCAAAAGTGATAATGAAAATTTCATTCCATTGAAAGTGATCATAAACATGGCTTGTTATAAGAACAATTCAATTTTAAAGAAATTATCTGACAGGTCAATTAATCTAGAAATACGACACTGACTTACCCAGAACAGATTTACTTTTCTCGGTCAATTGTAACCTGCTGGGCGCTATCCATTCGTCATCTTCTGGCGGTGGCAACATTTCAGTCAGGGATTCATTATTTCGAAACATCAGAAATCTTCTCCTTGTTGCATCTAACAAAGGAAGTTCCAACTCTACATGAAATGATGTTGTAGCTCCCTGTGTGAGGAATGAATGGTTCATCTTTAGTCCGTAATAGTTATTTTTTTGTATAACGTCCCAAAATGATTTCTTATATTTACGCGAATACGACACTTTAAACGAAACTAATTTTACAGATTTTATCGCGTTTAATTTCAACATTTTAATTCCCGACGTTTCGGGTTCTTTACAACACCCATTGTCACGGGTGGTCTGAGGTGTTTAAAGTCCCGATGTCATAGTTAGCCCGGCTACCTTCCGCTTTTGAATATTTATTTTTGTTCCGATCTACGCAGAACGAACTTATTAGTCTTTTGAAGTCTTGCAGTGTAGTATGCTTGGGTTTTGATTTAATTTTGTTAATTATAAGATCCTAAGCAAAATGGTAGCACCCATCCATCTTCTCTATTGGATGGATTAGGATGTTTTTTTTTAATTTCAAATGCCTCGCGAATCATCCGTGGCAGGAATCGGTGTTATTTTACGAGGATTTGTAATCTATCAATACTGATGTAATGGTGCGAACGATCTTACACATGTTGGGAAGTCAGCAGTCTGTGAACAAGTTCAAGATCGTCCCCGCCGTTACATCAGGTTGGGTAGACCACAAATTCTATCTGTTTAATTGAATCGATATTCGATACTGTAAGCTCGTTTTGCGGTTGCTGTAAAACACCTAAAATGTTGAGAATTAAAAAGTTAAAATTTAACGCGATAAAATCCGTACAATTAGTGTCATTTATTGCATAACGTCATTCTTATGGACAACACACACGCGGTCAGTTCGATTGATCATTCCAACTGATCAGTTCAAGCTAGGACTGTTGATATTTTTCAAAATAACGGATTTTCGATATATCGATAAATATAATATCGATAAATAACTTATATAAAAGAAACTCCGATATTGCTACATTTATAATAATCGATATATCGAAATTCCGATATTTAAAAAAATATCAACAGTCCTAGTTTGAACTGATCAGTTGGAATGATAAGTTGAACTGACTGTATGTGTCGTCTACTAGTAAATAGTTCGTGTACTGTACTCAAATTCTAATTAAGATTAATAATTCTCACACATTACAATATATATGGTAAGAAGTCTTTTTATTGATGGTAAGCAGCTACTGCAGTTCATGGAGACCTGCATACAACTTCAAATAAAGAAGCCTACAGTTGAACTGTCATCACTGGGAAATAAGATGTAACTCCTCCCAGTCTGTAATTATACGGGCTTTCAAATTCTCTACATCCTTCAGAGTGGAACACAGTAGTACTTGCACTGTTGCTTCGCGGCAGAACTATGTAAAAGGGTGAAGAACAGAACCATATAAAACGAGTCCTACCACCCTAGAATTAGTATAAATTAATGGATCTGTAGAGGGTTATTTTTAAAGACCAACCAAATTTAATAATGAAGTATAAAACGAAGACACTTTTTACAGTTTTTAAAATAATGATACTGCCGACTGCTTCCTAATTCAACATTCCTTTGCGAATGTGTGCGTGAGCAGTAAAATAGTAGGCGCTTCATATACGGTCTATCTGATGGTTAGTAGGTGCTGTGGCTCATAGACATCCACATACATCTTCAATCAAGAATCAAAATGCGAATGCGTTGTCACCCCTGAGGACCAAGATGGAATGCCTCGATTCCAGTAAAAAGGGTCTTCGGCTCTCTGCAATCACCACACGAAACACAGCAGCATTACGCTGGTATTCTATGAGAGAGTGGTTCTGCCCCGGTCGAGCTGACCCATTCATACTACAATTATAGCAGCAGCTTGGCTCTACCACGTAAATTTTTTTTCACTATTCACCTATATTGCCTATTCTGAACTTCCATCACAATTTTGCTCCAGTTATTGCAAAATAGCCCTGTGTATGTGCTGTGATTTATCGAGATTATTCTTATAACTATGCCTATCAAAATACATTAATTTTATTTCATCACTCACCTTATCCGCTTTTGGGGGCGAAGGAGCAGACACGATTCGGAAAATAGTAAAGTTAAAGTATGTTGACCGTAAGTCATCAGGATGAGGATTGAATTCTTCAGCAGGCCGATCTGAAGGCAGAATCTCACGCAGGTCTAACCATTGTAGTTTTGGTAATTTTGATAAAGTAGTTCGAGCGTATGCTGCACATACCTAAAAGCAATAGTATTATGTATACAGCGTACTATCTTACATTAATGAATTAAGTTTCAATATTTCCTAAAATTCCTTTTAAATTTTAAAGCATACACCCTATTTTATTACCATTACCGTCACAGCCTCCGTAGACCTCTGTTGGACATAGGCTTTCCCATAGATTGCCTCATAAGGGGGGATATTTGCCATAGTTGGCACGATTGGCTGGCGGGTTGACAACCGTAGTTTTCTTTTTTTACTGTTAATACAAATTCGCTGCTGCTCATCTCCTGTCGCCTCTTGTCGACACGTTGGATGACATGACACTTTGAGTAATAAACTGGTCTAAAACTAGGGATTGAATTCAACAAACAATTGTTTTTTAAAAATCCTAATACGATATATTCAAATTGAAAACGTATTTTATATATATTTATAAAAATTAATTGCTGTCCATTAGTCTCGCAAGAACTCGAAAATGGCTGAACCAATTTCGATGTAATTTCTTGTGTGTGTTCAAGTATCGTAAGGTTGAGATTGCAGTAAGAACTTCAAATCAAACCGCCTGTAGGAGATAAAACGAGAGAACTTGTTGCTAAATTGTTTCTGGAATATACTGCAAAAAGAATATGAAAAAATTCAGATACATTTTTTTTAATATAAAAATTTAATTATCTGAATTCTACCTTAAGATAGTAGTAATTCAATATTCTCGAAATTGGTTGGAGCAAAAAGTCCTGATTTTGGTAACTAATTAGCAACCAATTGGCTACAAAATCGTGTGTACAATTTTAAGGTTTCTGCTGACTTTTGACTGCTAGCTTTATAGAGCTTCTTTTTAGACTTTTTAGGAATTTGTCTTGGAAAAGTTTTTTGTAGTATTAATTCTGTGGCTATTTTTAATTTAACACTCTTTAAACATTTTTCCTTCAATATTTTTTTTTAAATTCTTAGTGTATCTATTGTGTGACAACAGTTATGCTTCGGATGCGTAATATTATATTTCTCATTTTAACATTGTTGATTTTTAACTTCTCATGCAGTTCTGTGAGTTGATGAATGTCTATTTAATAATAATCTTGCCGTTTCGTTGTGGTCATGAAGGTTAGAGAACACGAGAACGATAACTACGTACTAAAGCATAGCCCGTCTGTCCTTGAAAATTGTGGAATTCATAGCGGCGCTGACGTCGGTGAGTAGTGACTGCGAAGTTAGCTGTTTATGAGTACAAGTAGATGAAGTTAGTTGAATAATGTACAAATATTCATTTCATTCATTTTTAATGAGAAAATTTTCAAGCTCCGTAATTTTGTAATTTTTGACAAAAAGAAACACTAAACAATGGAGAAATATTTTATTTTGCGTGGATGTGCAAGTGGTTTAGCATCTGATTGGAAAAATAGCGCAGCGCCTCACTTATGGTGTCCATATTTCTGGGACACTATTTTCTACGGAGATCGTTCTCCTGTTCTCTATCCTTCATGGTTGTGATGGTGACATCACAACGCAACGGCAAGACCATAGATTACTGTATATATACTAGAGAGGAAAGATCGTGACCGTGAGGTCGGGTAAAATTTCATGACCTATGGGGTTGATAGTAGGAACTGGTATTTAATAGAAATTTGGCCTTTGATATCATATTATCCTAAAGCTTCATATTATATAGCATATAATGCATATTACTTAAATAGCGAAGGAGACTCAATACTAATTCAGTTTTTAGGTATAAGCCTAAATTCATTTTTGAAAAATGTATTTTATTTGCCTCGCGTATTTTTTCTATTCTATCTTGATGATACCCTATATACTTATCACTCAACTGCCTACTTGATTGCAAGCGCGATGAACTAATTGATAATAGTGTCCTGACGTGGATGCTGTATGTACCTAAGTATGTAAAAATTGTCTTTGATTTTTGATTTATTATGCAAGTAATGAATTCCAAATCGACGAAACTGAAGAGGTAGCCATGGGCGAAATGGGTCGGAAGTTTCACCCGCACTTGGTACACAATGGTAAAACCATTTAAGTAAGTTCGGCTGAAAGTTCCGTAAGTGTAATTTGTCCCCAAGATAGAAATGAAGGCGGACAATCTCTTTTAGTCATTTGCAATAATTATAAATTTTGTTACCCTGTTTTTGGTTTACTCTACCTCTTAATTTAATCTAATTTATTTCTGGTACAACACCACTGTTTGTACGAATTTCAACATAATAAGTAAATCTAGTCAAATTTAAGTAACCCTGTTATCACCCATATTTATAGCCCAATATTTATTCTTACTTATATGACGGCACAAGTTACTGTAAAAAACCAAGTTTTGGTTTGTTTATTTTACCATTGACTTCAACTATTGTTAAGTTTATTTTTCAAAAATACTGAAGAAATTAAGTATAGTTTCTTATTCCGTAAAGTATATTAGTATAGTTCGTCTACTTTTGTTCCAAAATTCTATGTATGGATCAAAGATCCACACCAGATTTTTAAAAAGAAAGTAACAGTCTCAGACGGTTATGATACAAAAAAAGTCTAGTCTAGTGTATGAGTACCTTCTAAATAAAATTAAAAAGAACGTGATTTTAAAAGAAGAAAACACCGCCTTTTCTACAAAAAATTTAGAGCTAGGAAGTTATTAATGAATTTTTTGAAATAGAAATGTCAAATGTAGTACAGCTATGCTATCATAGCGAAAGTCACAATATTTGAAGCAGCTCCTCAAATTATATTAAAAGGCATTTTTCTAAATCTTCGAAAAATTTCAAATAGAAATTAGCGCCATCTTTTCCATACTCACCGAATTACATAAAAACATACTCACCGCGCATGGATTACCAGCAAGCTGTAGAGAACTGAGATTTGGCAACGTTGTAAGAGCATTTAGTGTCGGCTCTAAATCACAGATGTCGTTATCAGAAAAGTCCAAAATAGTAATATTGTTGGGCAATTTATTGAACCCTTTGATACCTTCTGTTCAGAAAAAGTTTTAAAAATAGCTATTACTATTACTATTTATTATTTTACTATTTTTATAATATTGTAACACCCAGAATATATTTGAAAAATACACAAAATACATTTACCTAACATATTTTTTGCTAATCCTAAATATTGTAGACCAAAAGGTAAATCCGTAGCAATGTCGTCTACAGTTTTAATCAAATTGTTTTGTAACTCAAGAACTCTTAATCCACGTGGTATATTGCTAGCATTGATTTTACTTAGGAAGTTCCCACATAAATTGAGCCGAACAAGTTTTTGAAATCCGGTTAGACCTTTGTCTAACTTAGTCATCTAAAACACAAACTTTGTAAGCAAATATGAAAAGAATTTCAAGTACCTACAAATAGCACTATTATTTTAACATACTTTAGAGTCGTTTACTCTTAAAACAGTGACCTTTTTGAATTCGTGTTTTAAAATGTTTCGATCACCAAGGCGGACAGCTTTTTTGATTATGTTTAAAATGTCGTCAGTAATACAGTTAAAATTACGAAAGCATACTCTGCTTTGCTCATTAGCGAATTTTTCATTATCCCATAATGTGATGGGTAATATCAATTCCCATTGATCTTTAAGACTGATAGTACAATTTTTATCGAGAAAGCTATTTAAAATACTTTTGCTAATTTTATTATCCAATGATTGTGTAAAAGACACTTGCGATAAATGCTTGCTATAATATTGCCTGTGATGGCGTGCCGCTTCCTCTTCAAGAGTCCAATCCACGCCACTTTCTATTCTTTCTTGATACCCTTTGAAACAAATTCATTGGAGAAATAAAGTACAAACATACTTTTAATTGTTCCCTTGGTGGAATTCAACAGCTTATTTGATGGGAAACGTGAAAAAACCTATCGCACTCAACATACATTTTCTCTAATATTTTTAATTTATAACCCGATCTATTGTTTTATATATCCTGACAAATAAGGACAATGTAAGCTTCACTTTAAGGTCAAAATCTAAATTGAAATTCGGTGTTTTATTTTCATTAAAATAAATTATTGCCTTGACTAATGTGATACATGCAAGAGATATTCGAATGTCTACAATTTCAAAAAAAAAGCAAGTTACTCTCGGTAATACCTTCTATGGCTTCATTTGGAACATAGTTTAAACTTGCATTGCTTATTTCCGGCCTTGTTACTGGTGGTAATATTTTCTTTCCTGTTTCTTTACGTTTAGGTGGCATGTTGGTGGTCTAAGTTTAACTTAAAAATGCATTTATGTGACATTTAGGTAGTAGATATTACAAAATGTCAATCCTGACAAAAGGGAAGTACGTACTAAAACTTTAAAACCTTTTAAATCATATTGATTATAATATACTCTTTGATTACTTTGATCAATTAGGTACCAAAGAGCATTTTATCACTACGTTTCATTAGTTTCGTCCTTTCTGTTGTTTGATTCATATTTATTTTCAGTAATACTACTCATTATAAAAAGATTAATACAAAGTACATCTTATATGCTTATGTATTTTACTATTAAATTATAATAAATAGGTAGTTACAAATTTACTTTTTGCCAATTGTTTTGTTTTCAGCGTCGATAAAACAGTCGGAATAGTAGCGTAATAGTTTTGTCATATGATCACTAGAAGTCGCTGTATTGTATAATATTATGTTTAATTCTGTAACGTGCATGTAGCTGTAGTTCGGTTTGGTATGGTATACGCGAACGCGATCTCGACTGACGGCTGTGCCTATGTGTGCGTCTCACATTTTATTAAAGTCTGACGAATTTTGCCGTATGCACCGATACATACTTCATTCACTTGACTTGATTCAGTTTCAGTGTCATAGCTGTTACATGTAAGCAGCACAGTGTCGTTATACTTACGTTCATGTGTTTATATTTGATAAAAATACGCACGTTATTTTCCCAAATGACATGCGGCGACGTAGTCTAGCGTTTTCTGGTGTGACATTGACATTTTTAGTGACGTAAATGTGCGGGAATTTCAAACTTTAGAAAATAATGTACTTCACCGCGTATAGTGAAATATTTCAAAATTATTTTGGTTGTGTTTATAGGTTGTTTAACTTTAGTGAAAGTAGGTAGTGCGAATTAAGCCGTTGATATTAGTGATCCGTGTTCATGATTATGACCTTCTTATGATTGGCACAGTACCATATATACGCATATTTTGATTCGTTTCCGCGACGACTTTTTATTCCCTTGGAAGATATAATAGGTAGTATGTTTATTTCTAACTTTATTTTTAAAATTAACTTAAATTAATAAGTAAAAAAATGAAATAACTAAATTATTCGTCTGAACTGGTTACTCTTCCTTTTATAGAATTACGTTTAAAAATAAAAAATATTTTTAAACGTAATTCTATAAAATTGGTGAAAATAACATTAAAAGATTGTATTAAATAGATAGATACACGCGAAGCTAATGAGTGTGTTAAAAAACAAAAGGGGAACAAAAAGATGGTGGAAAGGCTAGAAAGCTGGTTCGTCTGAATTGATGAACTCAGCCACACTTCTTTAATGTGATGTCGATTATTATAAAAACGCTTATCACATGGTAACAAACCAAACCATCCAACCCGCAAACATCTTCTAGACATCGAGAGTTCAAATTATCGTTGGAGAGATAAATAGTTAAATAGTCTACAATAAGCAGAGATTTGCTTCAATAGAGAATAAATGTAAATGTTTATGGGCCACTACATCCACTTACCATCAAATGGACTGCGTGCTCCATTGTCACCCTTATTCTAGAAAAAAAAACTACGCCGGTGCTCTGTGAGAGCATGGTCCTGCACCGGTCGATCCGTGGCATTCGTGCACAACAGAGGGTTTTTTTTTTTGTAAAGAGTAGCAAAATAATAAACTAAAAGTTCAAATATATAAATAATGATGTACAGTTTTTAAAAATACGAGTAACTGAGACTTCTATTTTTATATGAAATTATGCCAAATTGAATGTAATTTATGGCCAACAAGGTTTTTGCCTACCGATCGCATTGACTTGTATATTACTAGGAAATCATTGGCCGATCGACCATTACCAATGTGCGTGGTAAAATCAGTTAAAATAGTGCAATACCACGGATTTTAGAATTGAAAATATAAAAAGGACCGAATGTTTGAGACTTTTTTATTAAGTTTTCTTCACCATTTGCCTATATTACTTATTCTGAACCTTCTCTGTTTATTAGGCCGGTTATTGCAAAATAACTAGGCTACAACTACTAAACTAAGCTATAATATATAGCGTGCAATAATATAGCTGCTCTACCGCATTTAAAACGTATGCATTGCAATTTTCAATTCTTATTATATTATTCTACACTTTTACGTGAAGAATGCTGTGCTTACTAACTTATGGGTAATAAACCTGTTTAACCATAACCATAGATTTAGAATATACTGGAGTAAAAACCTTGTCATTCTATTATAAAGTATAATTGTCATGGCTGTCATAGTATAAAAATATATAGATACAATATAATGATTAAATAGTCTTTGGTACAGAACATAATGGAACAATATGGAACAGTTTTGGCGGGAACTTGGCCATCGACGAATTGTCGCTCCTGTTTTGTCGATTGAATAATGGTTTGAAGTGGGTTTTAATTCGTAAAAGTGATGCGATTTTGTGAATTAAGTGTCTGCGCGTGTGAACTGTTAGAGAAAACGACGAAACAAGTGCTTTTATGTTGATATAAACCTCAAGTTAATTTGATCACTGGGTGCCTTATGAACTTGAGTGGCTGTCGTCAACTTCGCAATGTGACGCATTAGCATATTGTTAAGAAAAATATATAAAAATAAAGATACGAATATATAAAAAAGATATGCTAGGCTCAGATGGGCTAGAACCCAGAGCCGTAAATCCAGTTAATTAAAAAAATTAACAATAATGAAGATGACGTCTTATTAAATGATGTAGTGTTGTGTTATATATTTATATTAAATAGTATTTTAAACATAAAACATACCTAATTTGTGTCACTTACACAAGTTGATTCTACGTTTTTCTTGATGGGGAAAAAGGTAAGAAGTATATAAGCGTGTAACATCTTCTTTATCTTAATCAACTCATCTTCACATCGTCTTTATCTATTTAGATTAAATATGGTAGTATATAATAAATTAGATGTACGTCGAAAGCCTGCTCTTGCTATATATGTAGTGAAATAACTGTGGGGTAAAGAGTATAAACTTTTAGTTCTGCGGCACTTGAGTCTCTGTGTGCCAGACCGCATGTGACGAGACGGAGGCGTCCGCCACCGCTCAGCATGCCTACAGCACGAATAATGTCCTAGCAAAAACGCCTCTAACTCGAGCTCTTCACGTGATCAACCGTGTACATGTTAACATTGACATATTTAGTTGCTATCTTAAGTAAATTAGTTTAATATAATCAGTGTGAGATTTAGTTTATAATGTAAATGAGGACTATAATATTGGGTATCACCCGTAAGGATAGATGTCTCAAGCAATAAATAAATATATAAAAACTCGTAAAGAACTCCGTTACTGAGATTTTTTGTATATCCGCCTTTTTTATAGAATGTTTGAGGAGGTTATCATGTACATCGTATAATACAGGGTTATTTTGTAATAACCGTCCAAATTTTCAGAGGAGGTTTGGAATAAGTAATTAGGCAAATGGTGAAGAAAAATTAATAAAGAAAAACCTCAAACATTCTTTCCTATTTATGTTTTAAATTCAAAATGCGTGGTAATGCATTATTTTAACTGAATTTACTGCGCACGCACACATTCGTAAGGTTCGATTGCCCTATTTTGACAATACTTCTATCCTTAAATTTTATTTATTTAACATTCTAGTTTTTTTACAGCTGGGTGCTTTATTTTTACTGTTTAAAAATGTCTTTAAAATGAATTAATAAAGATGTGTTTAGAATTTCATTTTTTCCTCCTCTGGCCGAAGGTACCTTTACGTACGGAGTTTTGAATGCTGTACAAACACAAAAACTTTTCACGAATAGGTGATATAACTTTTCGGCTCCTATCGTCACGGAGGACTGCCGATGACACCGACAGTCTTTTCTTTTAGGTGATTGTTAAATTAGGTTTGACTAGGTGTTACTAAACACCTATATGTTAATTACTCGATTAACATAAACATAACTAAGCATAAACTCTTTCGCCTATAATCAAGAGGCCTACCGGCCGGAGACTCCGAAATTTCATTTGGTACGATTTTCGCACGCCTCTCTCGCTTCTTATACATTCATCTCATCGATTAATGGTAAACTAAATATGGCTATTTTTAAAAATATCGCCAACTCTGTCGATAAATTTCCGTCCAGAGCTTCCCTTTCCGATTCTGCCACTCACTTCCTCCGCCTAAATTTGCTTTGTCATTCTTCCCGCAGTAATTTTTTCTATCTAATCCAAATCACAGAAGCATTCCTTTTTTTAATCCTGGTCACATTTTCTTGCAAACCACGCTTTTGTCACTCTATCATTCAGTTATCCCTACTTAGAGCTGTACTACAGCTGTAATTTTACTCTCATAATTTGATTAATAAAAATTAAATAAAAAAACAGAAAGAATTAATCTACTCTCAACTGTTTTTCTATTATATCGGAACTCTATTCAATTATTCAAAGCTGTTGGTCGTCAGGGTTAACTGTAACATTAGAAAATTTAATATCTTATTTTCTTATGAACATGGGTAGTACTCAAAACATCGAGAATTTCAAATAACTTAAAATCACACGCGTGCATTTTTCACGTGATAGAGATAGCTAGAGTATATTGTGGTGTCTGCTTCGTTGGTCTAGTGGTTGTAGTAGTGCGACTACAGATCATGAGGTCCTGGGTTCGAATCCCAGGTCGGGCCAATAAATCAATTATTGAGTTTTTCTGTCAAGAAATTCTCAGTAGTTGCCCGGAGTCAGGAAGTTGACGGTGTCTCACCCCCGTGCCTCGGAAAGCACGTAAAGCCGTTGGTCCTGCGCCTGATCTCTCTCCCGGTCGTGTCGGATTACGAGAGTGATCGTGTCCCTCATCGTCGAGATACGTGAGTGAGAGAAATTGTTATTGGCAGTTTTTCACAAAACACCAATATAAAAACGTGGCCATAATGCTGCTGGTTTTCGTATTGTGAGGAACAAAAACTCAAGTTTTCACTTGTGACAAGGATCCTATCTTGGCCTTCCGGAGTGACAACACATCTGTATTTTATTTCTTAATTGTGTAAGTGTCTATAGCTCGCAGCTCACAGCCCCATGCTTTTTCAATAAATCCAACTTTTTTCTTTCACAAAATACCTGCGTTTAATACTATAATTTATAATCGTAGTATATTAATGTTGTATTTCTTATCGTGAGTGTAAAAAACTAGAGTTTTTACCTCTGATGAGTCATCCCACTTTGATCGTTTGGGGTGACAACGCATTTGATTCTTAATACAGAACATATATGGGGTGCTACCCTACATGCGTAGAAAACTAAACTTAATATTATTATTTAATATACTTAATTAACAAGAAATATTTTTTTTTCTTTAAAAATGTGATGAAAGAAATAATTTTAGTTAATTGTTTATTATATATATATATATATACCTCTTTCCGTATATATATATATATATATATATATATATATATATATATATTATAGCATCCCATAGCATTGAGGATAAGATTTTCGGGTATTTTGCCATTTTTTTGTAATAAAAAGTCACAGTCGGCCTATGTCACTCTCCAGCCCATAATCCTATGTCACTCAATCTCACTCCAAAAAATGTTGGATACATTCGTCCTACAGTTATAATAAGCTACAACGTGGCTCTACCAAATCTAAACTTGCTACCACTTCTCTCTATCTATCCTATACCTTTAAACGAGCAAATTCTTGTATGTAAATATATATAATCGGAATCTCGGAAACGGCTCCAACGATTTTCATAAAATTTAGTGTCCAGGGAGTTTCGGAAGTAATAAATCGATGTAGGATTTATTATTAGAAAATGTCTTTTTGTCAGTGTTTTCAGGCAATGAAAACCTGCTACAATATAGGAAGGTAAATTTTGACACCGTGTTAATGATCGTAACAGCTTAAGTGGATATCGAGCGGTCGCGAAATCGTAATGCCTTGGTTCGCGTCCTGGCTTCGGTCTGACTTTTTCCTTTTTTTTTCAAGTTCCCTTCTTTTGTGAGAAAATCTATTATTTCGAGCCCCTTTTTTAGTATTTTTTAAAAATATGAAAATTTTAATTAAACTAATTGTCCACATGATTTTTTATTCAAATAACCAGTTCAGTTTTTTCGATTATATCAATAAGATCAAAAAATAGGATTCATGTTTCATCAGTATGCAATTTGTATCTAAATGTAATTTCAAAAAAAAAAAACGGGTCATCCAGGTACTACAGTTAATTACTCTGACTTTAATTTAATGCATACATTATATTAATCTATGTGATTCATCACATAGATTAATATACACAATATAATATACACAATTAATATATACAAAATAATATACACATTATAGATTAATATACACAAAATAATATACACATAACATATTGTGATGAAGTATTCTTTTATGCCTTCAGGCATAAAAGAATACTTCATCACAATATGTAGCCTAGATAATGATTTCTTATTTGATTTGAAGTCTGCAGTCTGTGAACATGTACAGGATCGCCCCCGTCACTACATCAGATTTGATAGACCACAAATCCTCGCTAAAGAACACCGATTCCTTCCAAGGATGATTCGCGAGGCTATTGAAATCAAAAAACATCCTAATTTCAATAGAGAAGATGGCTGGGTGCTACCATCTGCTTGGGATCCTATAATAAATAAAATTAAATCCCAACCCAAGCATACAACTGCAAGACTCCATGATACCATAAGTTCATACTGTGTAGATCGGAACAAAAGTTAAATTTTAATCTATGGTAACCGCGGTTAACTATGACAGCTGGACGTTGAACATCTCAGTCCTTCCCGTGACCATGGGTGCTGTAAAGCTCTCGAAACGTCGGGTAAAAAAGTTAAATATACGCGATAAATTCCGTAAAAATTAGTATTATTTCAATATGTAGCCTAGAGGTCTGAGAAGTGACAATTAGAAACGTCTGAAACATTTTGGAACTTCTAAAGCTACGGCCGCACTACCTTACCGTCTGTCATCCGTTTACCGAAATAATAATGGCATTAAATTACTGCCTAAATTGCCGCGTGAAGTAGTGTGGTTACACTGGACTTTACCTAGGTATGACAATGGGGGGAAAAACGTCATGTTGAAGCTGTGGCGATGTTGTACTTTATGAGTGTCAGGTACTATTACGTGAATCTTACACTTTAACAAAGCTAAACCAAGACTTATAAGATGATGGTGGACGATAAAAATGCACAGAAAGCTAGCACAAAATTTTATACGTGGTAGAGCCATGCTGCAGTTATATTAGAAGTATAGTTGTGGCACGAATGGGTCGGCTCCACCGGGGAAGGATCACGATCTCACAGAATACCAGCGTGAAATAGTAACTTAATGCTGTTGTATTTCGTATGGTGAATGTAGAGAACCGGAGACCCTTTTTACTGGAAACGAGGCATTCCATCTTATTCCTCACGGGTGACAACGCATCTGCATTTTGATTCGTAATCGAGGACAGATTTAGATGTCTATGGGCCACAGCAACCACTTACCATCAGGTGGACCATGTGCTCGTTTGTCACCGTATCCTATAAAGAAAAAAGCCGTTCGTTTCCATTGAACTCATGTTGAACACTGAACAAAAAAGTGTGAAAAAGACCGCCACCGGAGCTATTGCCTACCGTCATATACTATATTGATTGGCATTGTAAAATTGTGGCCATAAATCGTGACTCTACTACATCTAGGTGTTGTTTTAATTATGGCCATAATTATTGACATATCACGGTAGTGAGGCTGCAGCATAAAATTATGGCCATAAATCGTGGCTACACCTAGGTGTTGATTATGGCCATAATTATTGCCATATCACGGTAGTGTGACCGTAGCATAATAGAAGGCGGTATGCAAAAATACCTTCTCGTTTTGCGCTAGACGTAAAATATCAAGAATGGTGACGTAGAACAGCGTCAAATTTGCCTGTCGGTGGTTACTGCGACCATTGCAGGCGGGTCCTCTATAACGTCTGAGACATTAGTCTTATAGTGGACATTTTCGGGTTGATGAAGAATATTACGAAAAATTAATTTTAAAATGTTACATAAACTGAACTGGCAAGGCTCAGAAAAATATCTCCAAGTCCGATAAGAAGAAGAAGAAGCACAAGAGGAAGGAGAGTTACGCCATCTACATCTACAAGGTGCACAACCAGATGCATCCCGATACTGGCATATCCAGTAAAGCGATGTCCATAATGAACTCGTTCGTTAACGATATCTTCGAACGCATAGCCGCAGAGGCCTCGCGCCTGGCTCATTACAACAAGCGTTCGACTATCACTTCACGGGAAGTGCAGACCTCTGTGAGACTGCTGTTGCCCGGTGAACTCGCCAAGTACGCCGTCAGTGAGGGCACGAAGGCAGTCACCAAATACACCAGTTCCAAGTAAACTGGTGTATTATATTATCAAATAAGATGATTAAAATATTTTTTCAAAGCCCCTTGTCAGGGCCACAAAATATATCGTATTAATATCCGTTTTTCATAATAACCTCTATACTCGCTCGCTCATTCGTTCTTTACGCTAACTATTATTATTTTATAGACACATATAGGTACACGCGAAATATACAATTTAAAAATCGGCTATAAAACGCCTGGGAGAGCTTAATAACTATTAGTAACAATTAAAACCTACAATTTAAGACACAAACGATAGAAATATAAGACGTATTTTGAAGCAAGATATTTGTGATTTTATATGCAATTTAGACTTTACGTAATTAAGAAATTATAGCTATATTCTATACGTTTGTGTTGTTACAGGCAATTAACATCAAGATGTCGTTTACGATGACAGAAGGTGGATTTGGTGTGGGAGATTTTGTGGCATTTGGACTTCTCTGCGCAACATCATGTGCAGGTGGAGTATGGTACAGTGCAATTGGCTCACGGACCAAAGCCGTGGTCGACGTAAGAGATTACTTGCTAGGAGGAAGAACAATGTCCACATTCCCTGTGGCCATGTCACTTATAGCCAGGTAAAACTCTTAATTAAATAAGCAGTGTGCACTAGATATACCCGTTTTGATCAAAGCCAGTTTTGCGTTTATAAATATACTTTTATTTTATTTTTAATTCTGGATCAAGATCAGATGATTTATGCGACAATCAATATTGTACATTATATTCATTTTTGTGGTGTTTTCTTTAAATATATTCATGAATTATGATAGTTCAAAAAGAATCCGTGGTGCAATGGCTTAGCAATGACTTACAGCGCTAAGGGCTGCGGCTTCGAATCCCGCGTGGAACAAATATTTGTATGGCCTACCCTACAAGTAATTGTTTCGGGTCTGGTTGTTTGTCCTTGTGAAATTTATGTATGTAAACTGCCTCCACGATACAAGACAAAATCCTAGTGTGTGGGTAACGTTTTTTTAAAAAGAAAGAAAGAAATAATTATAATTATAATAAGAATATAATATGAAATTAATAGTAAATTATAGATATCACTGACATAATGATTTCTTATATTTACGCGAACTACACATTGATTAAAACTACTTTTACGGATTTTATCGCGTTTAATTTTAATTTTAATTATTTTTATTTTTAATTCCCGACATCAAAACATATCAAATAATTTATTTGTAAAACATAGGTAAAAAGTTACAAACTTGGTGGAAAAGGTATGATAAGTAACACTATGTTTCGCCTACAAAGGCATACAAATATTTGTTTATCACTATCACCTGGCAATATGAAAATTAATTTTTAATAAAATAACAATTTCAATTATAATTAGTATGTTTAGAAATAACATTATATAATTATTATCTTATTACATAAATATAAACATATAATAAATAAATCGTCCATTAATTATTGTAGGTACTAAAAACCATTCATTTTATCTTCAAAGTATTCGTTGATAGAGTAGTATGCTTTATATTATAAAAAAATCGAAAGCAATTTCTTAAATTTGTCTATATATCAGTTTTTTGATGTTTTTTGGGAGTTTATTAAAAATTTTGGGAGCCATACCCAGGAAACTTTTTGAATACAGGGCTGTTTTATGAGGTTTTGTACGTAGTTTATTCCTATGTCGTTTATTATTAGCGTTTTCAAATATGCTAAAATGTTTCCTTACAAACATAGCTACTTCGAATATATATATAAAGATGGTAGGGTCAGAATGTTAAGATCAATGAAATGCGGTTTGCAACTATCGGTAACCTGCAACTGACATACTCCGTACTGCTTGTAAACATTTCTTTAGCGCTTTAAATACTAGTTCGCGTTTTGGAGAATTTCCTAAAAATATTATACCATATCTCAATGTTGAAGAGATGTATGCTTGGTAAGCGGTTATGACTGTTTCACGATTTGTAATTTTTATAAGGTTATGTAGTGCATAGTGTAATTGATTTATCTTTTTTATTATGTGTTCAATATGTTTACTCCATGTCATTTTTTCGTCCAGCCAAATTCCCAGAAATGTCGTGTGTTCTTTTTCGTTTATGATTTTAGTTCTATAGTTTGGTGGTGTAATAATACTAAGTTTTGGTTGTTTTTTTCTTTGTTTGAATGACATAATATGCGTTTTATCCAAATTAATTTTAAGATTATTGTCATTCAGCCAGTCTATTATCCTGTATAAATTCTGAGTTATGTCCGATTCAATTGAGATCTTGTGTCGTCCCGTGAATAATACTGTGCTGTCATCAGCAAATAAGGTTGTAGGGTGCTGAGTCACCTGGGGCAAACATTGATATATATTAGGAATATTAATGGACCGAGTATGCTTCCTTGCGGCACACCGTAGGTTGTTTGCTTTTGTTTCGAAAGGTATGTTATTTCAATGTTAGTAAAAGAACAGATCTCTTTTATTTTAGTTATTTGTTTTCTATCATTCAGGTATGAAATAATAAGTTTTAACACATTACCTCTGATTCCATATTTTACCAGTTTAAGCGCTACGATATTTAAATCAACGTAATCAAACGCCTTGGCCATGTCCATGAACAAGGTTGGTGTACGATTATCCATACCGGTGATCACTTTTTCCATAAATCCATACATGGCCATATTTATGTTTTTACATTTTCTAAAACCATATTGTTCGTTTGCTAAGATGTTATTAACTTCCAAATAAGAATATAAATTGTTATATATTACTTTTTCTATTATTTTGGAGAATGTTGGAACCAAAGCGACAGGCCTGTAGTTTTTAGGGTCATGTCTGTCCTCCTTTTTAGGTATGTAAAGGATTTATAACGGATATTTTTAAACCACTAGAAAAAGTACCATTTTCTATACATAAATTCACTACGTAACATAGAACTGGGGAAATTTCAGCGGCCACTAACTTAACTACTTTTGTAATTATATCATCATTACCACCACTGTTAGTATTTTTTAAGGTGACTATTACTAAACTGGTTTATGGGCTGGACTTCATTGATAAAATAATTATTAAATTCCTGAGCAATTCTTTCGGGATCACGTTTATATATATATATATATATATATATATATATATATATATATATATATATATATATATATATATATATATATATATATATATATTATTAAAATTAATTTTTGTAATTTATCTTTAGGTAAGTTGTATTTATTCTTATTTATCACTTTCCATGTGGCTTTTGTTTTATTCTCCGCATTGTTGATATAATAACTATTGTGCGATTTTTGTGTCAAATTAATGATTTTTCTTAATCGTTTACTACAAACTTTAAGCTTTCTCTTATTTTCCTTAGTAGGGTGCAGTCGAGAATGCCATAGTATTACTCGTTTACGTTTACAACACAATTTAATACCATTAGTAACCCAAGTAAGTTTTCTATTTATAAGAATTTTAATTTTAAGTGTCGGAAAGCAAAGATGTAAAGTTTAAATAATTCATTGAATTCATTAAACGCTTCATTAGGATCAAGACATTCATAAACACTATTAAAACTGGGACTACTGATGGCATTTTTAAATTTATTTAACTTTTCTATGCTCTAATCCCGTTAGAACAATGAGAGATAGTGTATGTTTTGTTAACAGGACATTTTAAGACTTGAGCAGTATGATCTGATATTCCCAGGTCTATCACTTCACATTTACTGCCTCTTATATTATTAATTATATTATCAATATGAGATTGACTTCATTATGACGACCAGACGCCAACTGTTCAGTGATGTCTCAGTGATCGCAAGGGTGAAAACTGGCAGAGATCACCGAATGGTTAGAGGCACACTGAACCTAAACGTTAAGTTGGAGAGGTCTCGTCTAATGAAGTCAACGCTCCGTCCCCCTCGTGCTCTAATCCAAAATCCCGAAAACTTTCAGCTCGAGTTACACAACCGCTTTCAGTGCCTACAAGATTGCAATGCAGTGGACGATATGAATGACAAGCACGTAGAAACTGTCCATGCGGTCGGAGCTAAGTTCTGCAAGACCCGCCGCAGAAGAACACAAAAACTCTCCGATCACACTCTTAATCTCATGGCTGTTAGACGGGAGATGAGGCTGCAATCGTCAACAGATTTGACAGCATACAGGCAACTGAACAGACAGATCTCCAAATGCATGCGGCGAGACTTACGCAACTTTAATACTGTTCGTATTAAAGAAGCGATCGAGCGGAACCAGGGCTCCAAAGTCTTTGCCAGAGATCTGTCTGCCCGTAAGAGCCAACTGTCAAGGCTGAAGACTGAGTGTGGCAGCATCGTTTGAGGGACACCTGAGATTTTGAGTGAGATTGAGAGGTTCTATAGGCAGCTGTACACATCATCGTTGAAGCCACACGCAAGTGTGAGTAACGATCCAAGAGCAAGTCTTATCCGACACTATTCCGATGATATACCGGACGTCAGTCTAAGCGAGATTAGAATGGCTCTCCAGCACCTTAAAAACGGGAGGGGCCCAGGCGAGGATGGAATTACAGCGGAGCTTCTGAAAGCGGGTGGAACACCGGTACTTGAAGTCCTTCAGAAGCTCTTCAATTCCGTCCTCCATGGTGGCACTACTCCAGAGGCGTGGAGCAGAAGTGCGGTGGTCTTGTTCTTTAAGAAAGGCGACAACGCTCTCTTGAAGAACTACAGACCGATTTCCCTTCTCAGCCGCGTCTACGTGCTGTTTTCGAGAGTCATTACGAATCGTCTCGCACGCAGACTCGACGACTTCCAGCCTCCCGAACAAGCCGGTTTCCGAAAAGGCTTCAGTACCATAGACCACATACATACCCTGCGGCAGATTGTACAGAAGACTGAAGAGTACAATTTGCCACTTTGCCTGGCGTATGTGGACTATGAGAAAGCCTTTGATTCCGTCGAAATTTGGGCGGTGCTGCAGTCCCTTCAGCGGTGCCAAGTTGACTGTCGGTATATCGAAGTGCTGAAGTGTTTGTACAGTAGGGCTACGATGGCTATCCGAGTACAGAACCAGAGCTCGAAACCTATCCAACTGCAGAGAGGTGTAAGACAGGGTGACGTTATATCCACCAAACTCTTCACCGCTGCTTTGGAAGACGTTTTCAAGCTACTGGACAGGAAAGGATACGGTATTAACATCAATAGCGAGTACATCACTCACCTTCGATTTGCCGACGATATAGTCCTTATGGCAGAATCGCTGGAGGACTTAAGCACTATGCTCAATGACCTCAATAGTGCCTCCCAACGGATAGGTCTTAAGATGAACATGGACAAAACAAAGATCATGTTTAATGTCCATGTCACACCTATGCCGGTAGTTGTTGGGAGCACTATGCTCGAAGTTGTTGACGAGTACGTTTACCTGGGACAAATAGTCCGACTAGGTAAGTCCAACTTCGACCGAGAGGTCAATCGACGGATTCAACTCGGCTTGGCAGCGTTCGGGAAATTACCACACATGTTCTCGTCAGGTATACCTCAATCTCTGAAAACTAAAGTGTACAACCAGTGCGTGTTGCCAGTGATGACTTACGGATCAGAGACGTGGTCCTTCACTGCTGGCCGTATGAGGACGCTCAAGGTCGCTCAGCGAGCTATGGAGAGGGCTATGCTCGGAGTTTCTCTGCGTGATAGACTCAGAAATGAGGATATCCGCAGTAAAACCAGAGTGACGGACATAGCCCAACGGATTAGTAAGCTGAAGTGGCAATGGGCCGGCCATATAGCTCGAAGAACCGATAACCGATGGGGAAGAAAAGTTCTCGAGTGGCAGCCTCGTACCGGTAGGCGTAGTGTAGGGCGACCCCCCACTAGATGGAGTGACGACCTGGTAAGATATGCAGGAAGTCGATGGATGCAGGTGGCTCAGGACCGTGCTTTGTGGCATTACTTGGGGGGAGGCCTATGTTCAGCAGTGGACTTGTGAAGGGCTGTGATGATGATGATTATCAGTATACTTGCCACTTTGTAAACGTGTAGGCTCGCAAATACTCGGTCGTAAGTTAAAATTTAACAATTTATTTTCTAATTCAGTAGAAAGCCGTGAACTTTGTAAAATATCTATGTTAAAATCCCCACATTTCGGATGCTTTCCAGCAGGTCACGGGGGACTGACGTGACTGACGTCCCGATGTCATTGTTAAACCCGGAGTACCTTCAGCTTTTTTAATTATTGTTTATGGTCCGATCTGTGCAAAATGAACTGCAAGACCTCAGGACATAGTCAATTCATTTTTAACAATGACATCGGGACGTCAGTCACCTCAGTCCCCCGTGACCATGGGTGCTGGAAAGCACCCGAAACGTCGGGAATTAAAAATTAAAATTAAACGCGATAAAATCCGTAAAAGTAGTTTTAATCATTATCATTGACATAGTTGTAAGGTAGGATTGGAGGAGTGGATAAGAGTTGTTGATTATATTTAATACAGACAATTTAATGAAGAGTAATTGTATAGTTAAGGTATGTTTTGCTCCCAATTTATTTGCTGAATGATGATTATCACGTCCTATAGAATGATAAAAGATTTCAGCAGTCATAACATGAGTTAACGTTTTATCTGCCGCTGTATTTGATTTTGGAATAATTGATACCGGGCTCCGGAGCAAAAAAGTGTCCCATAGAGGTACATTGATACAAAGCCCAAGATGGCTGCGATACTATATTTTAGAGTTGCTGTATTTTATGACACTAAAAGTGTATAACAATGTAAAATGGAAAGGGAATATAACTAACTTGTGAATTGTCAGTCTCATTGTACGTGGTGCAAGCTGATAGAGGCTACCGGTAAATGGGGGTAAATCAATAAAGTAAACGTTGAACATAAGTTGCACTGTCTAGTGACAACAGCTGCGTTACCGATACGATAGCACCGGCTCATCGTTCACAAATCTGCTCGCCTATCAAGATGAGTGTGAGTCATTCGAGTTATAGATGTCAATTGGCATATTTTTCAAAATCTTTGTCCAGCTATAGATTAAGAAATATGTACTGATGCAGAAGAAAAGAAAAGTACATTATTATATACTTTTCTTTATTGTTATAATCATTGCTTCTTCATAAGTCCGTAAATGTCCACTGCTGAAGATGATCCTTATAGGCACAATTTGCCTTAAACATCACGCTTCGCAGTCAGGATGATGGGTCGCAGTATAGCACGTTACGCAACCCACGGCAGCCCGTTGCCAGTCTGGATATTTTACGCTTGCCGTAAATGAGATTTTTATACTGTCATTTACCGGAAATAACAAGATATTTCTGACATATCTCATATTCACCTTTCAAGACACCCACGAGAGACGAAATAGGATGATGAATTCCGTAAAGTTAACATCACATAACATTGCTTACTTAATTTTTTTATAATGTTAAAGTGACAAACAAGCTAACAGTTAAGGGGAAATATATCAAATGGCTTAGCAAGATCCTCCGTTATGCCGAAAGTATTGCAGCATTAATTTTGAAATAAATATATGGTAAAGTTGAGGAGTAATGTTAAGGACTATGTTAGACGAAAACAAGATTCCGTAAAATTTTCTCGATAGAAAAAAATCCAAAGCTACCTCCAAACTGAACAATAAACCGCTGTTATTCATAAAATACTTTAAATAAGATCATGAAACTTTACATACTAACTGAACTAGCTATAAAGCAGTGCTTATGTTATTTACTTTTTTTTTAAATACCATTATTTTCACTGTAAAAAGAAATTACCTAAACTATCGACGTCTTGAAGCTTGATTCCTGTCGCCCCGTTAGTATCGCTTAGGCTTTTGAAGGGAGAAGTTGTGTCGCTTACGATTAGAATACACATTACGCAACAGGACGACGTAAAATTAAAATGGGAAATAACCGTGATAAAAATAAGAAGTGACTGGGTTGGCGTTAAGAAACAGGCATAAATATGATAAACCTATTGAAATAAGTATCTAACGACCTATCTACTTACAGTATTAGTGATTACAAACATGTCGGGTCTATATCCCCTTAACCTGGTGACATCTATTGCTGCCCCCGGACAACCGTAACCAACTTTAAACAACCCCGAGTATTAAAATTGAAATGATTTGCAGTATGTATAATTGTACTGCCATTCTTACTCTTTGAACTGTAATACAGCAGTACAAAAGAGATAGATAACTTTGTTTTCTTGTGTTAATTAAAAAAAATCTTTGACAGTTATGTGTCGGGTGTAACGATACTGGGCACACCAGCAGAGATCTACAACTACGGCACCCAGTACTGGCTGGTCGTAGTCGGGGTGACGTTGAGCTGCATTCTGGTGGCGTCGGTTTACTTACCAGTGTTTTGCACCTTAAGGCTTTCCTCTTCTTATGAGGTAAGTGACTGTAAATACTTAAAAATAACGGTGGAAATAACTTCATTCAATTTTTTTAACTGCAAAGCCGAAGGTGCCTCAAACATAGAGACACTTATTTACTCGCACTCGATTTAATTTACTAGTTACGGTTTTGGGATAATATCATTTCAAAACGCCCAGCAATGCGACCCCGATGAAGACGATGATGTGGAAGCGATCTCGTTTTATAGTAAGTACGTTTCAGAAGACGTGCTACGTATGTTATATGTATATATGCGGGGTTTACGTTGCGTTCCGAACCAAGATCTCTCGTCTTCGTCTACGCTGATAGCGACCAGCGTTTTATTTTATTTGGTAAGAGTCGAGTATAATTTTTTAAAAAGAGGGAAGGGAGGAGTCCTTCGAGAAGATCGCAGCCCAATAAAATATTAAAAGTTAAATGTTGGAAGTCAAGCGCACGAGAACAATTAGAGTATAATTAGACACACATTCAGTTTTTTTTAATTATTCTTCATTACTTTTAACCTTTATTAATTAATAAATTAATATTTATTTACGATTATAATATTACATATATAGATAATGTAATATTACAGGATTGCCTTAATACGCTTCTATTGCAATCCATTCAACAGAGGATACCCAGGGCGGATTAAATGTTAGGTCCACTTAGATTCATACACAAGACCCGCAATCTAGCGAGTTACACTGAACACGATCACGGACTCGTTAAAAGTATACACATGCGTGTCAGTATGTCTGCGTAGTTTGCAGCTGATAGTTTCCGAATCAAGTCAGTTTTACTTTCACTTTTTCGAGTTATGTTACGTTCGTAATTTTCTGTATTTCTTCATACAACAGAGACCTCAATAAAAATAAAAATAATTTAAAAATTAAGTTCTTATTTATTCCATTTAATTGCATGATTTTATATAATTCTAACGTAACCGATTTTATCGCCAACTTTAATAAATTAGTACATTAATTTTTTTTGTTCATTATCTCCACCATTTAATCAATTTTTTGCAGTCCTCTTCTTCATTTGAAAATAGTTTTAACGTTTCGCCGATGACTTTTTGCTAACGTTTCGTTACGTTGGGTTTCGTGATATTTGAAAGAAACAGTCGCTAATTATTTAAAATTGTGATAAAGGGGGGAAACTTTTATTTCGGTGTTCTAACATCAAAAGCGACAGTAGCCCTAATGGTTAAGCGTGCGGACTACTAGCACGGAAAGTCGTAGATTCGAATCCGCCATTTGACAATTGTGGTAAATCACTTTTATAAATATAGAGCACCATAAATAGGTCACACACTCGGTACAATGGTAATGATTAACGGGTGTTAGTAATGTTAATAATAATTATTTCTAATATACTTCTATTAAAATAACTTAAAGTCTTATAACAGGGAAAAAATTACGATGCTGCTTATAAGGATCGGTAAAATAATTAATATATATGTATAATGTATAAATTAATATGGACAGAATGTTTGAGATTTTTTAATTAATTTTTCTTCATCATTTGCCCATATATACTTATTTTGAACTATCTCTGCAAATTTGAGCGGTTATTTCAGAATAACCCTGTATTTTGAGCAGCACAAGGTGTCAGATTCAGATTTTTTTCATCAGACAACGTAGCTGGGTGGGTGTCTCGTTTAACGCGCTATGTTAATTCGCGTTTTTTTTTTAAAGAATGGGCACAATCCCATGACGATATTGGAAAGATTAAAGTTATTCCGCTTAAGTATTGATTACATAAGATTATGATTTTTGATGTAAAATGTATATTGAAAATTAATTAGCTAATAAAAATAAATTTATGGGTTAGTAAATATGTTAATTTTTAAGGTACTTATTGAGTACCTAGGTAACATTTAACTGAATAAGAAACTAAATAAGGAAAACAAATAACTACATAAATTGCATTCAATTCATAGGTTATGAATGCGGAAAATTTGCACGCTTGTGTCCTCTTAGCGACAAACACATTCATCCCACAGTCGTCCATGTACCGTGTAGGTATACTCGTATGTATTTGTTATATAAACTTTTTAAGGTGTCCTTTTTATATTTTTGCTTCATCATCATCATCATTAAAGCCCTTCACAAGTCGCTGCTGAACATAGGCCTCCCCAAAGCAATGCCACAAAGCACGGTCTTGAGCCACCTGCATCCATCGATTTCCTGCATGTCTTACCAGGTCGTCACTCCATCTAGTGGGGGGTCGCCCTACACTACGCCTACCGGTACGAGGCTGCCACTCGAAAACCTTTCTTCCTCATCGGTTATCGGTTCTTCGAGCTATATGGCCGGCCCATTGCCACTTCAGCTTATTAATCCGTTGGGCTACGTCGGTCACTCTGGTTTTACTGCGGATATCCTCATTCCTGAGTCTATCACGCAGAGAAATTCCGAGCATAGCCCTCTCCATAGCTCGCTGAGCGACCTTGAGCGACCTTATACGGCCAGCAGTGAAGGACCACGTCTCTGATCCGTAAGTCATCACTGGCAACACGCATTGGTTATACACTTTAGTTTTCAGAGATTAAGGTATACCTGACGAGAAGATGTGTCGTAATTTTCCGAACGCTGCCCAGCCGAGTTGAATCCGTCGATTGACCTCTCGGTCGAAGTTGGACTTACCTAGTCGGACTATTTGTCCCAGGTAAACGTACTCGTCAACAACTTCGAGCATAGTGCTCCCAACAACTACCAGCATAGGTGTGACATGGACATTAAACATGATCTTTGTTTTGTCCATGTTCATCTTAAGACCTATCCGTTGGGAGACACCATTGAGGTCATTGAGCATAGTGCTAAGGTCCTCCAGCGATTCTGCCATAAGGCCTATATCGTCGGCAAATCGAAGGTGAGTGATGTACTCGCCATTGATGTTAATACCGTATCCTTTCCAGTCCAGTAGCTTGAAAACGTCTTCCAACGCAGCGGTGAAGAGTTTCGGGGATATAACATCACCCTGTCTTACAGCTCTCTACAGTTGGATAGGTTTCAAACCTGGTTCTGTACTCGGATATCGTAGCTCTACTGTACAAACACATCAGCACTTCGATATACCGATCAACTTGGCACCGCTGAAAGGACTGTAGCACCGCCTAAATTTCTATGGAATCAAAGGCTTTCTCATAGTCCACATATGCCAGGCAAAGTGGCAGATTGTACTCTTCAGTCTTCTGTACAATCTGCCGCAGGGTTGTATGTGGTCTATGGTACTGAAGCCTTTTCGGAAACCGGCTTGTTCGGGAGGCTGGAAGTCGTCGAGTCTGCGTGCGAGACGATTCGTAATGACTCTCGAAAACAGCACGTAGACGCGGCTGAGAAGGGAAATCGGTCTGTAGTTCTTCAAGAGAGCGTTGTCGCCTTTATTAAAAAACAAGACCACCGCGCTTCTGCTCCACGCCTCCGGAGTAGTACCACCATGGAGGACGGAATTAAAGAGCTTCTGAAGGACTTCAAGTACCGGTGTTCCACCCGCTTTCAGAAGCTCCGCTGTAATCCATCCTCGCCCGGGGCCTTACCGTTTTTACCGGTGGTGGAGAGCCGTTCTAATCTCGCTCAGACTGACGTCGGGGATATCATCGGAATAGTGTCGGATAAGACTTGCTCTTGGATCGTTACTCACACTTGCGTGCCGTGTAGTGGCGGTTGAGAATATCCACTACCCCATATCGTCCCGTGGGTGTCGTAAGAGGCGACAGAGGGAGACAGGCAGGAGATGGGCAGCAGCATCTTCCTGATAACAACTGTGATATAATAAAAAACTGCGGTTGCCAACCCGCTCGCCAAGCGAGGCAACTATGGCAAATATCCCCCCATGAATAACGACGCAAACAAACGGCCCCCAGTCCCCGGTGGCCCCGCTGTTCCTGGCTACGGTGGCGACCATGGTAACGGCGAGGCAGGGGTGCTAAGAATCTCTGGTGGAGGTTCGGTTGCCACCTACGACGACTCTACCTGGCCACATATAACGCACGCACTCTGAGGACTGACGAGAAGATACTGGAGCTGGAAGAAGAGGTAGACAGTTGCGCTGGCATATTATTGGATTATCCGAGGTCCGAAGAGAGGGGGAGGACACGGCAATCCTCGAGTCCGGCAACTTGTTCTATCACCTGGAGGGCGACCATCTGTCCCAAGGTGGTGTCGGATTTATCGTCCACAAGTCTCTCGTCAATAACGTTGTTAAGATTGGAAGTGTGTCTACGTGGTTCGCATACCTGATACTCAGAATCACCAAACGGTATTCGCTTAAGGTCATACAGGTTTACGCACCAACCTCGGCACATCCCGATGAGGAGGTGGAGGAAATGTATGACAATATTTCCAAAACCATGCATTCCTCCAAAACCCACTACACGGTGTTGATGGGAGACTTTAACGCAAAACTAGGCACAAGAGAAAGCGGTGAGCTGAAGGTAGGGAAATTTGGAGTAGGGCAACGGAACCGAAGGGGCCAGCAGCTGGCCGACTTTATTCAAAGAGGGACTCTTTATGATGTACTCTTTCTTCCAGAAGCGGCACCACAAGAAGTGGACCTGGTCGAGCCCCGACGGTTCGACAAAAAATGAGACTTCATTATGACGACCAGACGCCAACTGTTCAGTGATGTCTCAGTAATCCCAAGGGTGAAAGCAGGCAGCGATCACCGAATGGTTAGAGGCACACTGAACCTAAGCGTTAAGTTGGAGAGGTCTCGTCTAATGAAGTCAACGCTCCGTCCCCCTCGTGCTCTAATCCAGAATCCCGAAACCTTTCAGCTCGAGTTAGATAACCGCTTTCAGTGCCTAGAAGATGCAATGCAGTGGACGATATGAATGACAAGTTCGTGGAAACTGTTCATGCGGTCAGAGCTAAGTTCTGCAAGGCGCGCCGCAGAATAACACAAAAACTCTCCGATCACACTCTTAATCTCATGGCTGTTAGACGGGAGATGAGGCTGCAATCGTCAACAGATTTGACAGCATACAGGCAACTGAACAGACAGATCTCCAAAT